TATATATACATACACACACACAAACATACATACATACTGAGGGCTTATTCTGAATCCACACACTGTGGTAGACACTGCACACAAACAAACCTTCTTTGAGGTGATCACAATCTATTAATAGAAATATAATACCATGTGGTAATGTGGTAAATGGTAAAATACAGGTATATTCAGGTCTGACTGCACAGAGGATAAAGCTGTCAACACAGCCTGGGCAGTTAGAGAAAGCTGCACAAAGAAATAATGAGTCTGGAAGGTTGATCTGGGGCAGCAGAAAAGGACAGTACACACAGAGGGATCAGCGCATGCAAAGTTATAGGTTAAGTGAGCCATGCATTCTGGAAACTAATTTAGTCTGACCAGAGTGCATTATATAGGACGGGCAGGAAGTGAGGTTGATAAACTTTGTTTAAATATGTAGTCTTAATCCCATTTACAGGGAACAAAAGAAGCATTTAAAGTGGGGTCCAGGCCACATGGTTATTGTTGTTGTTAAGTGCCCTGGAGTCAATTCTGATTCATCACAACTCTTTATACAGTTTCTGAGGCTGTAAATCTCTATAGGAGCAGAAAGGCTCATCTTTCTCCCAGTGAGTGACTAGGAGATTCAAACTACTGACCTTGAGGTTAGCAGCCCAGCTCATAATCCACTAAGCTATATGGTTATGTAGTTGTTGTTAACTGCTGTCGAGTCAGTTCTGACCCACAGTGACCCTGTATAAGGATTTCAAGGAGAAGCTGGTGAGCTTGAACCACCAACCTTGCTGATCAAACTGACTTTGCAGTCTAGTGCATTAACCCACAGTGCCACACATGGTTACAGTTGCTTTTAAAAGAAAAGATTATAATAGCTATGAATGGATTAGATGGAGAATATGGAGAAGAAGAAGTAAGAGATTATTGCAGTAATGCTAGTGAGAGATGAGCACCTGAGTCCAAACATGAGTGGAGGCACTAGAACAGAGGAAGATTCAATATGTATTTAGATGGCAGAGTCATTAAAAGTTGACCACCTGGTTTGGGGATGAGGACAACAAAAAAACTCTGAGGATGATCCCAGGCTGGTCCCTGAATGCAATTATTAGATCTCCATAATATAAAATCAGGAGCTGGGTTTATGAATCAACAGCAATGTTAAAAGATAGTAAGAGCTCTCTCAGGTCCTCATTTCCAAGATGACAAAGAAAAGGAGAAACAAAGGGTCGTGCCAAAAAGGGCTGCAGCCACTTGCAGCCTATTCGTTGCACGAACTGCGCCCACTGCGTGCCCAAGGACAAGGCCATTAAGAAGTTCGTAATTTGAAACATAGTAGGGGCTGTGGCTATCAGGGATATTTCTGAAACGTGTGTCTTTGATGCATATGTGCTTCCCAAGCTGTACATGAAACTACATGATTGTGTGAACTGTGCCATTCACAGCAAGGTGATCAGGAACTGTTCTCGTAAAGCTCGGAAGGACTGAACACCCCCACCCCAATGATTTAGACCTGCAGGTGGTGCCCCACGACCGCCAACAAAGCCCATGTAAAGAATTGAGCCCTTAAAGGCTGAAGAAAAACTAACCTGTAAGACAATAAAATTAAAATTATACTTTGTGGCAAAAAAAAGATAGTGAGCTTAGCTGAACACATTGAGTCTAAGGTGCTTGTGGGACAGCACAAGTGGAGATGTCCTACAAATACACAGCGTAAAGTCTAAGCTAGAGATTAACAGCGAAGAGGCAACATTACTCAGCTGTAATAGTTACTGATGCTGAGAAATGCATGAACATGTCCACAGGTTAACATATAAGGAATTAACACAATTTCAAAGAACAGGAGTATTTAAAGAGGCAGACAACGGACGAAGAACCAAGCAAGAATGTCATCACAGAAGGCAAAGGAGAAGAGCATTTCAAAAAATAAATGATGAAAAGTATTAAGTGCTACAGGGCAAGTAAGATGAGGTTGAAAGTATATACTGGATTTACAACTAACCTGGTGATTGTCAACCTTGGCAAGAAAAGTTTCAGTAAAGTGGTGTACAGTAAGACCCAAGTGAACTGAGGAGTGAGTAGGACATAGGGGTATGAAGAAACAGTGCAAATGTACTCTTTCAAGAAATTTGGCTTTTCTTCTTTCCTATATAATTGCAGTAACAATGTGTTTAAACATAACCACAATTGTGTAGATGGAGCAGGATCAGGCTCCATCAGTGTTTCATTCTGTTGTACACAGGATCACTATGAGTCACAACCGACTCAAGTGCACCTAACACTATATATATATTTCCAAATTTGTGTATAACTAAACCCCAAACCAAACCCATTGCCATCATGTTGATTCTGACTCATAGCAACCCTGTATAAGGTTTCTGATGTGGTAAATCTTTAGTGGAGCATAAGTCTTCATCTTTCTTCTGTGCAGCAGCTGGTGGGTTTGAAATGTTAACCTTTTGATAAGTACTCCAGTGCTGATCCCACAGCGCCACCAGGGCTCCTTGTACTTGTGTATAGATGATAATAATGGGGGAGGGGTGCACTGGAGTTGATTCCAACTCATAGTGACCCTCCACAGGGTTTCCAAGGCTGTAAATCTTTACCAGAGCAGAAAGCCTCATCTTTCTCCCAAGGAACAGCTGGTAGTTTCAAACTGCTGACCTTGAGATTAACAGCCTGACTCATAACCACTATGCTACCAGAGCTCCTAAATAATAATAAAAGCAGCTAATAGTTAAGAGTGTTTACTAATGCCAGTTTCTAAGAACTTTACACATATGATCTCATCTGATCTGCACAATAACCCTAAGAGGTAAGCATTATTTTCATCTTACATATGAAGCAAGCAAACCATTTAGAGGTTAACTTGCTTAAGATTGTCCAATTATTAAGTGGCAGAGCTACAGTTCCCATCCAAGCAGTCTAGCTCCAGGGTCCAAATTTTTCACCACTGCATTACATTGGACATCACAGCATCTGAGTTAAAGAACCTCATACAGAGTGGTGGTGGCAGTGTGTTGTGGAGTCAATTCCGACTCAGAGAGATCTTGCATAGGGTTTCTGAGGCTGTAAATCTTTACAAGAGCAGAAAGCCTCAGCTTTCTCCTACAGAACAACTGTATAGTTTCAAACTGCTGACTTTGAGGTTAGCAGCCCAACTTGTAACCACTACCCTACCAGAGCTCCTTTCATACATAGTTGACATTCAAAAAATTTTGTCAATTAACTAATTTACTTAAGCCTTATATAATGGACAATGTTCCTCCACCTTCAAGAATGAAAAGAAAAAGGGGAAAATTTCTATTTAAAAATGTATACATATATACTTATTGTTACTGTTGTAGTTAAGCGCCTTGAGCCAGTTGCAACTCAAGGCAACCCTCAATAAGGTTTCCAAGGCTTTTCAAATGTTTGCAGGAACAGAAAACCTCATCTTTTTTTAGCGGAGCAGCTGATAGTGTTAGAATAAGGAAACAAGAGGAAAAATTAGTGAGGAAGATTACTACTTAAGGCTGCTCGGAAAAGATAAACTGAGCCATAAAAAAACCCCTCCAAATACCAAAGACAGATAGTGGGGTATACACAAGATGAGAAATTATCACCTTATGAGGCTGGAACCCAGAAGGGCATGTGATTGTTAACCATGAGCTACCTATTAACTTCCCCCTTAAACAGTTTTCAGCACAGGCATAAAATCAGATATGTCAAGTATCCTAGACACCTCTGCAGTGGAATCCATCTTGAAATCCTAGTCTCCACCATGGATGCCAGATGCATGCACAGCATGGAAAAAAGGAGAGACAGGGAAGCAACACACTAAAGAGGAATTACGCAAACAAGAAAGCCTCCTCTTGTTTTAAACTGAGCTGAACAGCATCTACAGTTTAATCTCTCACTATAAATACACCTTAGACTGTGAGCATGAGGAGGAGACTCTGCTGTCTATGACTTGTGTTCCCTGCATATTCTAATAAGCCTCTTTTATACTATATTTCATAGTGTAAATATAGTATAAATTTTTTTATGCTTTCTAGTTTTCTGTAGCCCAATCTGGTAATAATAATGACCTGAAACCACCAACCTTGTGGTTTATAGTCCAGTGTTTATCCTACAAAGCTATCAGACTCCTATAAACGTATTCACATAAGTTATTATTCATATATAGACTTATTTTATTTATTTATACTTATTTTGGGGAGATAACAAATTTACAAAGGACTGGGTAAGTCTATACAGTTTAAAATTAGGGAAGGTGTGTGCCAGGGTTGTATTCTTTCACCATACTTTTTCAAACTGTATGCTGAGCAAATAATCTGAGAAGATGCCTTATATAAAGAAGAAGGTGGTATGAGGATTGGAGGAAGACTCATAACAACCAGCAATATGCAGATGATACAACATTGTTTGCTGAAAGTGAAGAGGACTTAAAATACTTACTGATGACTTCTAGAAAGGTGGTAGATTATACAGATTCACTATATAGACCCTCTACATCAAAGATATGAGAGACAAAATAAAACAGACAAAGATGAAAATTCTGGCATCCTGAACTTCAGAAGAAAGGTTAGAGAGGTGGATGGAGTGTTCACTGGGAGGAGAGGCCAAGCATGGATGGTGAGAGAGAGA